GATGTCACTCAGGAGGTTATTGGCCTCCAGATACCAGACTAATCGATTGTTGATCATGCGCTCCATGGTCTTACAATCACAGCTAGTTAATGATATTTAACAATAATTGGATGGATCTGTATGGTCCCGTCCAGGCTTTGGAAAAGGAATAATAATAAGGAAAGTTTCCGTTTGTCCATATTTCATCAAATATACTAAGTAATCTTTCCAAACATGAATCGGGTATGTGTTTCAGGAGCTGATAGTGGATGTTGACAGCTCATGCTGCAGTGTCATGAGATTGCCCGAGGGCAGTATATAATTCATGGAGTGAAAATGTTTCGTTATAGTGCTCACCATTATCAGAATAAATATTGACTTTTTCCTTTTCCTGCTGTTTTTGAAACCTCTGAAATTGAGGACTATAGTTTGATGATGAGGAATGGTTTGCCAAAGTGTCACCAAGTTTGTTGGCAATTTCGGATTTAGTAGTTAATAGTGTATTACCATCTTTGAGATGGTGAACTGAAGGATTTGGATCTTTTGCCCTTAATCTTTTGAATCAAGTTCCACACCTTGGACATTGGTGTGCGGGAATTGATTTTTGATACATAGTTCCTCCAGGATTGACGTTTATTCTGCTTAAAGGTACGCCTCGCTTTGGCGCCGGTGATTTTAACATTATTCAAGTTGTGGACAGTGGGGTGTCAGCGGACATATTTCTCAGCTTTCTTCCTATTTGTTCTAGCTTGTTTACAATTATTTTCAAACCATGGTTTACGTATATGAGGGTTTGCAGAGGACTTAGGAATGCTTTCGTCTCCAATAGCATTTAATATATCTGAAAAAAGTTGTATACGATCAGGAACAATCCTGAAACTTGTGGAACGTGGTTCGTCAGACGGATTAATAGTTGATAGTGAGTGAGTTGGTTTTAACGCCGCTTTTAACAGTATTCCAGTTATATCACGGCGTGTCAGCTTAATGTGGGAGGAAAGCCCGAAGTGATGCAGGTCTAAGACGTTTACCACTTCGGTGAAACCCACGAGCACGGGCATAGAAACATAATCGGGGCGAACCGGGATTCGAACCCACAATCATAGGTTTCTGCCTTGCCCAAGGGACGCAACTCTGCACAGCGAATCGCGGCGCCTGAGACGACTGGGCCATCCGTGCCCCCGATTAATAGTTGATAAGAATTGTTGGAAAATGGTCACTTCCACAAAGGTCATCATTTAAAATATTTGAATCTGTCAGTGAAAGATCTAGGGCAGAGTATGTGCCAGTGGCAGGATGAAGATAGGTATTGGCACCATCATCGAAGATGCATGAATCATTGTTCGAGATAAACTCTTCAAGGACTTTTCCCTTATTATTTGTATCAGTACTCCCCAATAGGGGATTGTGACCGTTTAAATCGCCCATGATGATACAGGGCTTCGGGAGTTGATCGTACAAAGTCTGAAGAACTGATTGACGGATAGTTGAGGAAGATACAGTGAACACAGTGTAAACACTATGTTCAAAGTAACACGGACATCAACAGCTTGTAGAGTAGTGTTGAGTGGAACAGGGGTATGGATCATGCTCTGCTTCACCAGGATAGAAGAACCTCCTGTAGCTTTATCACCAGGAGGGGTAAACGAGTGGTAAGAACTGTACTGATGGATATCAAATAGATCTGTGTGTTTTAGTTATGTTTCTTGGAGACAAAAAGCTGACGGTTTAAAACCTTGCATTAAAAGTTGTATTTAATTAAAATTCTTCTTAAAACCTCTGTTCCATTGTATTATGTTTTGTGGATTCATGGTGGTGCTTCCACAGGAGAAATGTCACGCGAACGTGAGGAAGACTTTGTAGTTCCAATGATACCTTTGGAGATTGCAAATGGGTTCAATATTTTTATGGGTTCTTTGTCAAAAGCTTCTATAACCAAGAAACGTGGCCAATAGTCGAATCGAGTGGGCGTAGTATTTTCGTCGGTCTCTATTTGTCGTCTTTTTGAACCAGGGTGTTGGGAAGCCATGTCGAAAGGGAACAAATATTGCACCTCTTTTCCCCACCCACCATGGAGTGTCAACAAGGACAGTCTTATGCTGCAGTGGATCTCCAAGCTGCAAAGACCGAGGATAAAGAGGTGGTAAATTTGACACGGAAAGCTATAGCTATCAAATTATGGGTCAGGCTGGTTCGGCCCATGACAATTAATTGGAGACGTACAGAATTCGGAGGTCAGCATCACCAGATTGGCCCATGTGACACCACCTTCCGGGCATATAGTCTAATAGGGCTCTAAGCAAGTTAATAGATTCATACATTTAGAATAGACATTTTGAAAAAAAACTTATTTTTAAATACCGAACGTTTGTGCGAAAAAGTATGCACAGGTCATGACATGACCAGCCGATTGATAGAATCGGGCCCATTCTACCGCCTGTATAGGCAAAGTTAGGGTCAAAGTGGTGTGTTGGACTAAGGAACACTATAGCGGCTCCGTCGCTCTCAACCACCAGAATCCCTTCCTCTGCCGACACAGGGTCGCAGCCCACGGCAAACAGGCTGCCCAATTCGGTCGCCTTTTACGACCAGCATTGGGGTGATGAGGACACATTCTTGTTTATCTTCCCCGGGTCCCCGCGGGGAACCACGACACGAGAGCGACAAACAGTTTTTATGACCGATGATTGTATGGCCCTCACACAGTGGTCAGTGCGTGTTTTACTGAAATATGTGTTTTCTGAAATAGATTTCATCATGTTTGCCAAGCCGTTGTTATGATATATTAAACTGATATGACGTGACATAACTGAAATACTGTTCAACGCGGTGTAAAACTCACTCACTCACTCACTCACTCATTCACTTATTAATGTTCTCATGATATGTATAATCATATGCAATAATGGTCTTGAATAGGGTCATCTACGACGGTTTGTCCGTTCCAAATGCTCGGCCACTATCATGATTCCACCTAGTCCAAGGGGCGCTGGGGTAGCCGAGTGGTTACAGCGTTCCCTTATCACGCCGAAGACCCGGGTTCCATTCCCCCATATGTGGGGAGCCCACTTCTGGTGTCCCATCCCGTGATATTGCTGGAATATTGCTAAAAGCGTCGTAAAACCATACTCACTCACTCAAACAAGTCCACCGTGAAGGAAAGACGTCCGCGTCTGTCATTTCGTGTAAACATGTGTGACTATCTGCAAATGTGGTATTTAATAAATAGTTCACAGTCATATACTTTCGAATATATCGCACGCTGTCAGCCGATATTACGCTACACGATTATCTCCACGTTATTTGCACTTATCAAGTCATAGATAATAACTGCTATATTATCACCTTCATTATCAGTTGGACTCCATACACAGTAGGACATCTTGAACACAACACAACATTTATATCAGCGGCAGCTTTCTCTATTGTTTTGTAACAATGATCCACGCTGCCCAACACACACCTCAAGTACCCATGAGAAATGAGGTTGTTAATAGTGAATGAGTATAGTTTTACGCCGCTTTTAGCAATATTCCAGCAATATCACGGCGGGGGACACCAGAAATGGGCTTCACACATTGTACCCATGTCGGGATTCGAACCCGGGTCTTCGGTGTGACGAGCGAACGCTTTAACCACTAGGCCACCCGACCGCCCCTGTAAATAATTAAGACGGACAAGGCCGTAAACAGAGATCTTTACTCGTCACGATATGGCTGAAATAATGTGACGTAAAGCATCAACTCATTCACTCACAGAGATCTTTAAATGATCTACCCCAATCCTATTAATGAAATATGAAATGCACAGATCTCTTCTAAAGATATTTAAGCTTAGTTTCCAAATAGGGGGCACGGGTGGCCCAGTCGTCTAAGGCGCCGTGATTCGCTGTGCAGAGTTGCGTCCCTTTGGCACGCCAGAAACCTATGATTGTGGGTTCGAATCCCGGTTCGCCCCGATTATGTTTCTAGGTTTGTCAGCACCATACCCGTGCTTGTGGGTTTCACCGAAGTGGTAAACGTCAGAGACCTGCATCACTTCGGGCTTTCCTCCCACATTAAGCTGACACGCCACGATATAACTGGAATACTGTTAATAGCGGCGTTAAACCAAACTCACTCACTCACTCACTAGTTTCCAAATAGCAATGTTTCGTATGGTAGCAGTGTTAAGATTTATATGTTTAACAAACGTACAACAAAGAATACCTGATTACCAACAAAGAGTTTCACTGAGTCCTATACACTACGCCATTCTGCAGGTAACTAATGTGATACACTGAACCGGATATTGTACCTTCCAAACTAAAAATAGTAACAAAAGATAATCTTCAGATACCAAACTCTCATTGAATTGCAGACGGGTCTTGAATACCAAAAATGTTTCATATGGTACCATGCTTCCTAGGCCGCAGATCAACAGCCACATTCGATTTCGTGCCTTGTTCTTTCTTAAAGCGGGGCGGTCGGCTAGCCTAGTTGTTAGAGCGTCCGATCGTCACGCCGAAGACCCGGGTTCGATTCCCGACATGGGTACAATGTGTGAAGCCCATTTGTGGTGTCCCCCGCCGTGATATTGCATGAATATTGCTAAAAGCGGCGTAAAACTATACTCACTCACTCACTTTCTTAAAGCTTGTTTACTTTTAAGCGAATAAGTAAGCTTAGTTGTCACCTTCCTGGTGTAGTCGAGAGAGAGTCTGGCCGGAAGTCGTTGTTTCATTCAAAAAAGATGTTAACATAAGGTACTTGTTGTTACCCTGCCTGGCGCTCGGTATTAAGGGAATAAAACAAGGACTGATCGGATCAGTCGGAATACTGTATCTGAGCGGGGTATCCATGCTAAACTGCATATTACCTCAGTGGAATAACACTATTAAACCGACCACGTGGGACATTGCTTGTATTATCAACCACTGTCTCTTTTGGCAAGAATCGAATAGTCGCGACACAGTAGGAACATTCATTTCGGCGGCCAAAAAAGACACACAAACAAAATAAAAAAAACAGCCAATTATATGCGACATATTTTTAATGAGAAAACACTACCCTATGTATTCTTATAGGCATGTATAGTGTCCCCCATGTCAGTCTGTTGTGAGGATTAACAAGGGATGCGTCTGAGATAGTTCCACCCAGGTGATGCTTCCGCCAGCATGGACGCAGTTTGTGAAACTATCACCTCACATTGTCTCCCCTTGACGTTGATGCCGACACATAGGGGGCGTTTGGCACATCCTGTGGCACAGTGGAGAGTACTCATCGCAATGACCTCGAGCCTTGACTGCTGGACTCTGTGATTCCTTGCTTTAAGCCCGAAACCTGGAAACAGTGTTAATCGTACACTCGTCACACACTGTCACACTGTATCTATATAAGCATAATTATACCAGTAATCCTGTGTGTAGCCAGTTTGGTATTTACTTAGTGTCGATTGTCGAAATTCCAGTCTCTTTGGCTCCCCTGACTGAAAGTCAATGAAATGTCGTAGCATGCTTGTCCGACGTCAGTCGTTGTCAGTAAACAGAAACCACTAGCCAAAGAAAGCTAAAACCTGTTCCCACCCCTTATTTCTTCAAGAGGTTCGAAATGAATTATCATCCTGCAAAAACAACCCATTTATGACCATTGTTTTGTCATTATTTTTTAAAATGTGATAATATTTCGCGTATGTTCAGTTAGCATCAGGACTTAACACACGTGTTCCGCATTTCGCGACCTTTTTTTACCTTCCTCTTAAATACCAACAAAATAAATGTTTGGCTCTATAGATATCCCCTCTGAAATTTTTGTATGTATGTTTCTTCTTTTGATGATATCTGTAGAATTTAGTGTTGGCGTTGAGTTCTCAGTATATATGGAGAAAATATTAAATATCAATGCTGACTTTTGATGAGTGGATGTTTTGTTCACACCTTAGTTGCCTACAAATCCAGGTGAGCTACAGAGCCGTGTTTTATTTGTTTGTTGTTTAACGCCGCACTCAGCAATATTCCAGCTTTATTACAGCGGTCTGTAAATAATCAACTCTGAACCAGACAATCCCGTGATTGATATCATGAGCAACCAACCACGCAATTGGGATACAATGACTTACATCAACCAAGTCAGCGAGCTTGACCACCCAATCCCGTTAATCGCCTTTTACTACAAGCATAGTCACATTTTACTGCAAGCATGGGCTGCTGAAGACCTATTCTACCCCGGATCTTCACGGGTTCAGTGCGTGGTACTATTTCTATTTGTATCAATCACATGGGAACATATAGTCGTCACAACTTTTTAAAACGACGATCAAACAGCAGGATCTAAAACCATAAAGTGGCAACTTCCAAGTGTATGGTTTTCATAGGCGTATTACCTATCGAACCGGTTCAGCATGTGTTTGATACATATGGAAGGTTTCAAAATAAAATATTAAACGGTTTCCGAGTTTGGCTCTGGAAACAAATGCTACCCGTCTTTGTGTCGAAGTCAAGTTTGTTACCAAGGAAACAAATTCTTTTAAAGAAATACCATAACATCCAAAGGCACCAGTTCAGCATGTATTTGATACATATACAAAGTTCTGAAGTTTAATAAGATATTAAACAGTCTCCGAGGTTTGCCCCGGGTAACGAAACGTGACGAACGGAAGGATGGACGGACGGACATCACCCATTCCTATACCCCCGTCCCAGTTCTTGGCTGGGATAAACAAACCGAGTTTGTTTTTTGTGCAATTGAAAATCGAAAGAACTGTTGTTAAATTTCATTATGTCTATCATTATGTAACTATCAACTGATCAAATGAAGACCGGGGTAAGAAATGATTTTGCAACCTCATGATCTCTGCCATATTTGAAACGTTGCCCAAACAAGCACATTTATTGATTTTCAAAGATAAAATGTCCAAGATTCCAAAGATTAAAAAGTTTGAAATGAAACTATATGTAGAAAACAACAACAACTATAGATAAGTATTCTTTGAGTGTTGACAAAGCGCCGGTACAGTTAATGTTTGTGTATAACATATCTTAATAACTTAAGAACTTTGCAAATGAAAATTAAATATAATGATTAGAATCATTTCAGAGGTATAGTTTCTTTTGCTCCTCAGTATATGGTCAGAAATGGTTTGGGGATAGTTTGAATCCCCCGAATGGTTTGCGTTGCCTATTTTATGATATTAATATAAATATAAAGGTGTAAATGATAACTTACAAATTGTTGTTGGTCCTTGCAGGTTTGCATGATCACTTCCTTCAGACTCTGCAGGAGTAACTGTGACAGACCTGTTGGCTTTACCTAAAGAGTGAGTGAAGATGGTTTTACGCCGCTTTTAGCAATATTCCAGCAATACCACGGCAGGGGACGCCAGAGTGGGTGAGTGAATGTGGATTTACGCCGCTTTCGGCAACATTCCAGCAACATCACGGCGGGGGACACCAGAAATTGGTTTCACATATTGTGCTTATGGGGAATCGAACCCGGGCCTTCAGCGTGACGAGCGAACGGTTTAACCACTAGGCTGCCCCACCATCCCGGGACAGCAGAAGTAGGCTTCACTTTATTTAATGGTGTATGCTGGTTCAAAACTGATAAGAAAGAATTTCTGTACAAAGGAGGAGACAAAAGAAATCTCATGATCGTTCTCACTTATGCCTTGAACTAAGTGTAATATCCGTTATAAGTTATCACAGGTTTACAGACGTAATTCTACACCAGAAAGCAGAAATGCAGAATACCTTTATTAAAAATAATAATAAAGGTTTTGTCTTTGAAAATGTGATGGACCACCCAATTCATCATATTACTAAAGTTAATCTGTCATGCCAAGACCTGCTCTCAGTGCTAATGTCGAACCCATTCGACAGGCGCATAGTCAAAGAACACCCCCAAATGAAACTCGCTATAACTGTTTAACGAGTAGGCCTTGCCTACATGTATCATTTAAGTTCCGTGTGGTATGCATAAATTTGAAAACTTTCAGTAGTTTATTTACCTCGCTAGTTAAGAAAGTATCGGCCAAATTTCTTGGCAAACAACTACCAGAAACGGCCATTGTTGACTTTTGGCACTTCACGTTGAGCGGCATGCAGTATGATATTTTCTTTATTAATTAATTTTTCACATTCGATCATATCTTTGGGTTACCTGATGAAACAAAAACACTCAAGTTCCTTAATTTCTAAAAATTAGCAAATTTCGGTACAATAAATTATAAACAAAAACTAATTTGAATCGTAACATCATCGATTGGATGAAAGTTACAACGGCGGTAAACATAAAACTCCACCAGCATCGTGATCCCGTAATACTATTACAATCCTTTTTATATATCTTAATTAATGTTCTAGAATTATTTACACGGATGCTAAATATTTGTGAAAAATATCTCAATTTTATCGAGTTTTGAAATGGCTTAGTTGATGAGTGAGTTTGGTTTTATCCAGCTTTAAGCAATATTCCAGCAATATTACGGCGGGGGACACCAGAAATGGGCTTCACACATTGTACCCATGTCGGGAATCGAACCCGGGTCTTCGGCGTGACGAGGGAACGCTTTAACCACTAGGCTACCCGACCGCCCCACTTAGTTGATGAACTTTCGGACATTGACACGCTATTGACAAGTGTAAGTGACCTGTTTGGGCGTGGCCTAACTCGCGATTTTTTTAGTTGAACAAAGTCAACAAACACCGCGAATAATAACAAATAGTGGATGATAGGCAAAATATTACTGATATACATTCTAGGTACGCCATTCAATAATACAGATTTTGAAAAAGAATCAAAATACTTGCAACTTTATCATTATTTCTGAAACCGGAAGCACGTACCCATGTCACACATCGAGGCAAACTACGCAAAAGATGGTAAGCTATGAAAATTCAAGAAAATTCCGAAAAAGATTCAAATTCAAATAAATTACATAACTTACTATTTATCGTCACCTATTTACTATTTATTGACCTGGGTAGCAGTCTTCACGCCTGTGTTTCATTTGTTTTCGTGACTGTAGCCGGTGTGTAACATGAAACTTGATATACTATATAAACTATATATTGATATGCTATGATAATCACAACCTGATATTGTTATTGGTCTGTCATTGCAAGAAGGACAATTCAGAATATTAAGGATTTCTTTAAAAAAGAGAGTTTACCCCCCTCTCCGTCTCCCCAGTCTTCAGAACGGTTGAACAAGGTACAGGGCGACTGGATGGGTGTGTAGTAGGGTCTATGTGATTTTGTACCCAAAACAAACTTATAATCCAAAAATACTTGTCACTGGAGAAGAGGCCAGTTAAATTGTTAAACCCTAAGTAAATTGTAATGTTTGGATAGGAAAGTGATAATATATTAACTTTTTGCCACTAAAAGTAATGTGTAGCTTTAAAACTAATCCAAAATTATTCTGGGTACAAAATCACATAATTGTTTGGGCACAAACTCACAAGAAATTTAAGATACAAAAATGGGGACGATGGGATAAAAAAGATGCCCGTCAGTAGTACAGTAACTCCTTTTCACATTTTAAGACGAGTTTTTGATTACGTAACCAAACAGGTTTATGTTTTGTCCTTAAAGTGTAGAACAATATGGACACCTCAGAAGTACGGCCTTTTAAAGCTATAATTCAATCAAACGTGTCAGATGGTTTGACGTTAGTTTCAAAGAAAAACAAACTTTAATACACTGAAACTTTCAAGCACCAGAGATTATTCAAGGAATGACAAATAAGTTTCTTTTATACAAGGGGAATTCTTGTTTCATGATGGCAAGGGCACACACCAACTGATGAAAGTGTGATACTGTGATTGCATACAAGGGACAACAGGTTTGCAGCAGTACATGTATGTGCACAATAAACCACACAATATGACAGAAAGTCTTGGGGCGTGGATGGCAGGATAAAACACATCTGACAAGGGTGATCATGTATGCAGGGACATTTAGCTTCACTCCATCCAGAAGGCTGAGACATAAGGACCTTTACTGATTAGATATTCAGAAACCCATCAAATAATCAAGGACGTCAGATCCAAGGCTGGCGATGATCTGCATTTATTTTGAATTTATGTACATGCCACTGACTGATAGACGAAAACCTGCTGACCACAGTTCACAACGGTTCATGTTCCTTAAGGAACATGCATGAGCGTCACTGTCACACACCTGAGCATACTGCAGCAAACCCGGAACGTCCTGCCAGACAAATCACACATTATTTCATTGGTGAGAACCCAGACAAAATACATATGGTAGGGTATTCTCCATGTACATTTCTCCAACAGAACAGAACTGCAAACATTGCCTATATGTATGTATGTATGTATGTATGTATGTATGTATGTATGTATGTATGTATGTATGTATGTATGTATGTATGTATGTATTATTGCAGTTCTGTTCTGTTGGAAAAAAGTACATGGAAAATACCCTACCATATGTATTTTGTCTGGGTTCTCACCAATGAAATAATGTGTGATATATGTGCCCTATTCTTTTTTCAAAAGATAACATTCTCTTATAAATATATATCTACCTCACCAGATCAAGCGCCACCCTGGTTCTTGTGATTAAACAAACAAAAATCACATGTACTGTTACAAGAAATTAATGTATCATATTCATATTACAATTATATTTTAGAATTGTTTTGTTTGGAAACAAACCGACAAGATTAATGTCCACATGTATAGTGTATGTACATGTGAAGGATCTTATCTTTTTACCTATTATTCATGGAATACTAAACTTAAATAATGATATTAAGTAGTTACCTTTTCACATATTGATGTTCAGGTGAAAGATAATAATTGTTGAATAAAATATGTTTAAAGTAAAGATATGAACTGTCCCAAATTTAATGTGAAGCTAACCCTGGATATACGTATGTAGAATTTTATTAATATACACATCACGCACTTGTGCATATCCTATCATATCCAGCAACGCACGAATGTTATTTTGAAACACGTTTTTTTTCACGCACCTGTTGTGATGGTGATTATTGCCATGTTTGTTTTTCGTACGTCTGCTAGCATCATGACAAAGGATTTGTATTTTCCTATTTCGTAAATATGTAACCAAAAATTTGAATTTAGAATTGGTGAATATGTATGTCATTGATTGTTGCCTGCAACGTTTATAATATGACACGTTAGATTAAGCCGAATGTTCGTATTTCTGCAACTGACATGATGGCCTCGAAAGTTAAGTTTTATTCCTCCTTCAGTTTGGATAACATTTTTTTACTGAAATAGTTCATAATTTACCATCGCTCCGTTATTTGCCGATACAAAAATCGAATTTATAATCAGTTGAAAATAAGATATCGGAGATCAATTTGCACAAATTTAACGACATAAAAAGGTTCCTAACAAGACACGCAAACCAACTTCAATAACGTAATTCGGGTAAGTTAAAAAACGTTACAAATTTTGTGTTCGCTTTGGTCTTAAACTTGGTATGATTGAAAACATAAGGACATTTTTATATAGTAATGTGTAGCTTTCTATAAGGAATAAATCTGGAACATATTTCTTCAATTGGCCCTTGTTTATTGAAGCACCGACTGTTTGAAATCGTCCACCCTCTAAACAGCGACTTTTGCTAAAACAATTCTAAAACAGCATAAAGGTTAATCTGTCATTGACAGACAGATGCCATGACCGACTATCTAGAGTAATATGAACGAATCGGGGGGTCCTTAACTTCTTTTGAGTTGTATATATAGTGTGACTTACATGCTCCAGTTGAAGGAACTCCTGTACCAAACACAATAACTTCACACAGAGTGAAATAGGGATGTTTCGTTGCTAGCCTCACGAATCGAACAGACAGCGGGGTGGTGCACGTTATTTCCCTCGCGGCTCCAACTGGAACCGCATCACGGTGATAATAACACAGTGCTCCCACAGCGCTCGCCGTCACAGAGGGGTCCTCGCAGTACCCTTTGATGGTAAAGTCCCGAAGTCCTTCTCCTACAGATGACCACAATAACTAACTATCTAAACTATGGCGAGATAAATGGTTAATATATAAAACACAAACCAAAGATGTTTCACTAAAAGATCACACTGACTTTACCAATTACATTGTTTGAACTGGGTGGACATACCATCCCGTAAATAGAAGCAACAAAACCATTTCCGTACTACTACTACTACTACTACTACTACTACTTATATTGATGATAATAAAAATCATAATCATAATAATAAAAACTATTGCACGATTCCGACTATATCATTAGCATGTGTTTATGAGTCCTGCTCTACCAGAAGAACCTGTCACAAACACATGCAAAGGCAGGTCACGTTTTCACCTGAAAAAATACATGGGTACATAGGGTACAAGTCAAAAAGAAAAGCTGAAATTTTGGGGCTCGATCGTAGCGCCACCAGTGGCGATTACAAGTTATGTCCCTTCTATGTCCCTCCTATAAAAATACAATCGATGGCATATCAATAATGCATATACAGTTTGCTTCAGTACTTACCACAATCGGTGCAAGGATCACTCCGATTGATGATCTTAAGTTTAGATATTTCATAAACATTCAGCAAGTCGACCTGCCACCATGGCTGTTTGTCATCTCCTCGTGAAAAGTAACAAACCGAGCTCCCACTGTATCCTGATGCAGACCCATCCACGACGTGGGAAGGATCCGAAAATTTATGAAAGTTTGAACTGGCGCTTGTTGGTTTATGTAACGCCAAGTTTGTAGTTACAGCAGCTGAAGGGAATATAGACTGCATGTGAGGTTTATTTTTAACTGTGACCCTCGTATTAATCCCACCGACTTTTTTATTGACACATTTCACTTGGAGATTTCTTATAATCCCTTCCACCTATTGGCCAATATCTGCATACATGCAGGGTATTTGCTGCTTCTGCAGTCATACAGAATATATGCTGCGTCTACATACAGAATATATGCTGCGTCTACATACAGAATATATGCTGCGTCTACATACATAATACATGCTGCGTCTACATACATAATACACGCTGCGTCTACATACATACAGGGCATATGCTGCGTCTACACCCAGAATATATACTGAGTCTGCATACATAATACACGCTGCGTCTACATACATAATACATGCTGCGTCTACATACATAATACATGCTGCGTCTACATTCATAATACATGCTGCGTCTACATACAAAATATATGCTGCGTCTACATACAGAATATATGCTGCGTCTACATACATAATACATGCTGCGTCTGCATACAAAATATATGCTGCATCTACATACATTCAGAATATATGCTGCATCTACATACAGACTATATGATTCGTCTATATACATACAGAATATAAGCTGCGTTTACATGCATACAGATTATATCCTGCATCTGCATACATAATATATGCTGCGTCTACATACAGAATATATACTGAGTCTGCATACATACACAATATATGCTGCGTCTACATACAGAATATATATTGAGTCTGCGAACATACATCATATATGCTGAGTCTACATACAGAATATATACTGAGTCTGCATACATACAGAATATATGCTGCGTCTACATACAGACTATATGATGCGTCTATATATACTAGCAACATAAAGAAACTGTGCACGGAGAAAATATAGATATAAGGGCACACCGTCCATATATGAAAGACATGAACACAGCAATTATTTGAGACATTCAAACGCTCATGCACGTGCCATGCGATATGACGTCATTGATGGGGGCCTATGGACGTGCAATGTGTTACTGCACGTGCACCCTGTGCAGCTGTACACAGCATGTGCAACTCAAAATTCGCTGTCAATTTGGAAAGCATGATCTGTGGTCATTCAAAAATTCAAAACTTCTCAGGCGCAGACACAAGCATATCACAAGCAAACCATGCCAAGATTGACAGCTGCACAGCGTCATGAAGCCATTGGAATGATCCGAGCGGGAATGAGGCAACAACAGGTGGCAACACATTTCCAATGCCATCGTAACACGATATCGGCATTGGTGAGGCGTTATCAGAACACAAATGACGTTGCCGACCAACCACGTTCAGGACGTCCCCGAGTAATGACGCCAAGACAGGACAGATGGATTCGAGTTACACATCTCCGACACAGGTTCCAAACGGCAGTAACGACGTCCCAGACAATTCCTGGACTGCGCCGTATCCATCCCAACACTGTCAGGAATCGTTTACGTCAGTACGGGATTCGACCACGACGCCCTGCCATACGTCCCATCCTGACACACCGTCATCGAGTCAACCGTCTAAGAAGGTGTCGAAATCATGTTCGCCAACCTCGAATATGGTGGGGAAATGTTGTCTTTACAGATGAATCGAGGTTCAACATTTCCCACAGTGACGGGCGCCAACGTGTCTACCGGCGTTTGGGAGAACGTTATGCACGCAACTGTATTGTGGAGATGAATCGTTTTGGAGGTGGCTCTGTGATGATTTGGGGTGGGATAACAGCACGGCACCGAACCCCTTTGGTGGTTGTTCAGGGCAATCTCACCGGTGTTGGCTACAGAGATCAGATTCTAAGGCCTGTGGTCATTCCTTTCCTGCAACGTCATGGCCCGGGATTGACATTTCAACAGGACAACGCTCGTCCTCCCACGGCTAGGGTCGCAATGGATTTCCTTCACCATAACATGTCATGTTTCTGCCATGGCCTGCGGTTTCTCTAGATCTCTCCCCAATAGAGCATGTGTGGGATGAAATGGAGCGCCCTCTGCGTCGTCTTCCACATCCTCCAGATAACGTCCGTGACTTGGCACAGGATTTGAGGAGGATATGGCAGGCCATTCCCCAGGCCTTCCATGCCCATTTGGTGGACTCCATGCGTCGCCGATGCACTGCTGTGATTCACGCACAGGGTGGTCATACCCGTTATTGACTTTGTGACTTTGTCGTATGACCCCCCTACTCCATTTTGATCTTCTGACGTCATCGTTACAGATGTTGTTCAGGTCCCGTTGACATTTTCTTATGGTCCGAACATTCAGCTGCTACAGCGTCTGCATCATTTTGTTCTTGCTGTGTTGTATTTCAATCCAGAATATATTTTCTCCGTGCACAGTTTCTTTATGTGGCAAGTATACATACAGAATATATACTGCGTCTACATACAGAATATATACTGAGTCTGCATACATACACAATATATGCTGCGTCTACATACAGAATATATATTGAGTCTGCATACATACACAATATATGCTGCATCTACATACAGAATATATATTGAGTCTGCAAACATACATAATATATGCTGCGTCTACATACAGAATATATGCTGCGTCTACATGCATACACAATATATGCTGCGTCTACATACAGAATATATACTGAGTCTGCATATATACAGAATATATCCTGCGTCTACATACAGAATATATACTGAGTCTACATACATACAGAATATATCCTGCGTCTACATACAGAATATATACTGAGTCTACATACATACAGAATATGTAGAAAACCGAAAACCAAAACCGAATTTAGAATCAAGATCATTATATCAACATATCATAATATATATATACACACAATAATATGTTTGTGTGCTTGAATTTATTGACTCTCGTGAAGATTCTGTGCCATTGATCACATGGGGCAGTGACAGCAGGCTACCCTCCCGAGGATATTAGTGTCTTCAAACCCGTGCATTTACTGACGGTTATTCGGTGTGACGGAGGTACGCAGTGCTTTTCATAGTTAATTGGTGACACCAATATATTCTTACCGATAGGCCTACTGCAAATGGATGCCAGCACAATAAGGATATATCTCTTGCTTGTCATAGTGGAACCTCCAAAACCCCGGGCACATCTGACACTGACAGCGTGATCTTAAATTCACCAAGCAATGGATGAACTCATCATCTGAAAAGCACTTATGAAAGAGTACAGTTTTTCATTTACGTTTCCTTAAACAAGAAAACAGCATTATCACTATAAGAGGCCCATAAGACGTTTGTTTGTTCATATAGTAGTGAACATAAATTATAAAAAAGCCCCATAAAGCCTTAAGAAGAGATGGGCACTTGGGCTGCTTTTTGTCATGAAGAAAAAATGATTAAATGTGAAATTAATACACACAAAAGGCCCTTTCTCTGGAAAAAAACCTCTTCATAAGTATCTTTTAGATTAGCTAACTTCAGTTGTTTCTGATAAAACAAATAATATGTATCGAAGGCCGTAACTCTGTAAAATATCAATTGACGGGACTAGTTTTCGAACTCAGTATTGACAAGTATCTCAGATAAGCATATGGTTATTTATTATTCTAGTTTGTGCAGGGACAAAGAAAAGTACACTAGCCATATCGACAGGTATCATTAACTACTTAGTCATACGCGTACTTCCTTATCCAGTCTATTATACCCTGTTATTTCCTCACCATGGTTATACTCTTCACTAGCAAGTACATGCTTACGTCATACATCTACCTACCCTCCCTTCCCGTCACATCATTAGCCATGCTTTTCTGTTATGTATAAGGTTACTGTCTTCATATCCCACAATGCATTAATTTATCAGCTACGCATGCTCAGAAAGGTTCCGGTGACCTTATGTCTGTAGGCTTTTTAACCCCATAGATTTTGCTTTGTCTTCCTTGTCAATTCTATTGTCATGGCGTAATGCTCTCAAAATCTCTCACGAATCCACCACTGAATACGCCATCCATTATCATTCTTCACCGGGAAAGCTTCCCATCGTGTCGACAATTTCGGATCCAAAGAGGAAACGTGTTGCACACACAAGGAAATCTGCTCGGACCAACAGCGTTAATCTACCTTCCGCAGAATCCGATGTAAACAACCAAGATGGCGGACCACCCCCTCGTACATCTCGCCAGTCTCAGGCCACCAACCCACCGTATCTGACAGCTACTGACCTCACAAACAAACTAGAACAACTAGGGATAAGTTCCGGCTGCGTGGTCTAGAAAATTCTTGCTACAGCTGTACAAGGAAAACGTAGCAAGTGGCCGGCTGATAGACAACCCCACTGACAACGACAGGCCAACAAGGAATGACATTCCACAGACACAGGCAGCGAGGGGACAGACTGATTCATTCATGACTCCAGACGCCAGAGAATGCATGACAGGAGTAAGGATCAACACTCCAGCTACACTTGGCAGTGTTAACGACAATCTGCATCCCATCTCCGACCTGCGCAGTAATCAGACGGAAGTTCCGGTATCCAACATGGCAGATAGAAACCTGAGAGGCGAGGTCAGGGAGTTGAAGGAGCTTATCCGGCCATGCGTCAAGAGAATGTAAACAGAACCGCACACCAGATGCATCAAGCGGTGCCTTCAGACAGCCTGCCCCCGATAGACACAGTGCCAGAAGCGATCAAGGACAAGATCAAAGCCAGTTAGTATGTGAATCTGGCTCTCCTATTACAAGATATAGACTACGGCGAAAAGGGATTAAGTCAAGATAGCCCAAATGGCAACTTATCAAGAACCCTGTTGTTACCAGATTTCATCATGACTTTCACCACATTCAAGAACATTTATTGTGAAAACAACGATGAACTCCAGCGCCAGTTGGACGCTCACGAAAGGACAGTCATAAATCTGGCTCAGCAATTCCCAGGAAAAAGCAACCGCTACAATTACCATATATTGTTTGCCCCTCGCGTTGCCTCCTATGCTGAGATAGGTCAACCCATCGGGTCGGATATGCCTGATCAAAGGATTCTCACTAGGTGCTCAACAAGAACCTCCAAGTCTCGCCAAACTTGCCATAGTGTGACACACGAGTTCAAACCACGGAGGTACATCACATCAGTCTCTGACAGACCGCAAGGATATCGACAAGACAAGGCTTACACCAGGGGACGTCCCAAGGTCAGGCTCAACGGTAAAGAAATTTGCAACAATTTCAACGACCAAGGTTACGTCAGAAGAAACTGTCTGTTGAGCATGTCTGCTTAACCTACAAGGAGCCAAGCCACGGGAAAAAAACAACTGTAGCAACAAGAGAAAGAAGGTTTGACTGGATACCACCTCTAACAAATCCACCGTAACCATGGAAACAGTGCCTGTATCATCTCCACTCACCCCTATTAACCACGCCCGGTATTTGAACTGGCTCTTCATCCGGATATCAAGTTCACAAACTATTTGATTAATGGTCTAAGATACGGTTTCAACCCTTAAATTCATCCACTACCCACAACCTCCATGGAGTGCAACAACAATTACAGTGCTGGGAAAGACCAGGCTGCAGTGTCACTTCTCGTCAAATCCGAAGTTACAAAGGATTACGTTGCAGGTCCATTTTCGACAGTGCCATATCATGTATAAAGGGTGAGACCCCCCGGGTTGGCCATAGGTACAGTCCGTTTGACTCCAAATGAGAACGATGAATTGCAAATAACTTGAAACCAACAGTCCAACCTATAATAGTGGCAATCGGTTCAGGCACCAGCAGTTCCGACGACGAGATCTATGGCATGAGCGAGTCAGATTGCGACTGAAATTATCATGAGACGGCCCCTCTAACGCTCTGTCATTTCCCCTACCACAGAACGTGCTGTGCATGCGTGCTTGCGCTGTGCCTTCCACGGTTTGTCTCCCTACGTGTCATGTACACATTTCTATACAAAATTACATGATAGTTTCTTAAAGAACTTCATCCGTCATGGGTCTTAAATTAAACAAAATTCAGATTTTGTTGGGTGCAGGGTATTCATGGTCAAGTACCGTATTGATGTTTCATACGCTTTTCTGGATTTCGAGTTATTTTGCAATTCATCGTTCTCATTTGGTGTCAAACGGACTGTACATACAGCCAGAAGAAGAGACTCATTCTCGACCTGTCAGCGCCCCACGACGAACTGGATATACTCAAGCATCAATGAGCTCATTGACAAAGATCAGTGTTCTCTTTCATATGTGACAATTGACCACGCTATCATCTCCAATGAAGGCCATGGCGCCAAACTGTGTAAACTTGACATTTCGGATGCTTTCAAACAGGTCCCGATAGCAATTGCATTCATACCTTTCTTTGGATTCAAGTGGCAAAAGCAGTACTACTTTTACAAACGGCTGGCCTTCGGATGTCGTTCAAGGCCAAATTGATCGACACTTTATCAGAAGCTTTATGCTGGATACTGCATCATAACTATGGCATTCAACACATTCCCCATCTCCTGGATGATTTCCTTACTATAGACTCCCCTGAAGCCGATGCCCAACAAACCATGACGAACCTGCGGAAATTGTTCCACGAGATGGGCATCCCTATAGCCGAGCACAAGACAATGGGACCAGCTACAACCTTGGAATACCTGGGCATTAATTTGGATACCGACGCCATGACAGCAAGCCTACCACAAGATAAGCTGGACAGGATATCAGCATTACTTCACGAGTTCTCCAAGAAGAAAAAAATGTACAAAGAGAGTCGAACATTCCCTCGCCTTCCTCGAACTGTATCCCATCGTGATAGCATCCGTAATTTGGGGGCATAGATGGACTCAGTTAAGAGTGTTATTTCATTGTGACAACCAAGCCACTGTACATATCATTCGCAAAGGGAGATCTAAATGCTCGAAAACCATGTCTCTTATGCAGACTCTAACATGGACGGCAGCTAAAGGCAATTTCGTAATATTAGCTAAGCACATCCCTGGGGTTCACAATACTTTAGCTGATGCTCTTTTTCGTTCACAGCTGGACCTGTTCCGCTCCCTAGCCCCGGCAGCCCAGATAGAACCCATACCGTGCCCTCCAGCCTCTCAAATCATGTGGAATTGACAAGGCACCTGGACACATTATGGTCAGCAGCCCTTGCCCCGCGGACAAAGAATACCTATACTACCGGTGTTCAGTGCTACATCAACTTCATGATTAGTGTGAGTTTGTTCTCTAGGACATGTCCAGGACTCCCACCGCTACACGAGAGCTGCATTCCTTTTTTTCTTGTCCACTGCTTCGGCAGGCTCAAGTTATCTTATACTACTGTCAAAACCTACCTGGCTGGTATCAGATATACTTACCTACAGGAAGGAATATCAACACTTTTCGACTCCACCAGGTACATTCGAACCCCCAAAGATACCTTGAGACAAGCACAGATCTCATTGTCTAATGTGTAATGTTCAACCAACAGAGTGCAATCTGCATAGTAACTTACCCCATCTTATGTGACGTTCGGTCCCGTGATTCCAGTGCAATGTGACTTGTGCTATATTTCTGTTGGTAAATCTGTGACTCCGTGGTGCACAACTAGTATCTTATTGTATCTTGTACAATGAGACATAAACCGTGACTCTCGTGTATAAATTATTGGTGCTGGAGAAACTACAGACTCAGATAGTAGCCATGCCGTGTGGACACGCACTGCACTCTCGTGCACGTGACTACTGCCATATCCCGTGCCGTGTCCAACTGTGCATACTGACTTTGACACTTGTTATTAAGAGTGATTCGATTGGCACTTCTTTGCATAGAGCCAGTGACTCTCCGATAACTGTGACTCAGTACTCTGTGTGATCTGGGCCCCCCCCCCATTCATACTGTTAGGCCTTGCTTCCTATTCACTGCATTTGTATTCACGGAAGTACAGGACTCCTGTCCTGGTTCACATGTACTGCCATATTTATGTCATGCAGGATGCCATACCATTGTTGTGTATTACCTAACTGCTCTTAGTTCAAGTATTCTTAGGTGTAACATACGTCATGTGTATATGTCATGTTTCTCTCTCCTTACATCTTACATATATATCTCTACTATTCATTGGGGGCTCTCGGTTGCTAACCTGCTTTTGGCCTTCAGCTAACTCAGTGCTTTTAATCGCCAGTACGGGAAGCACAAAATGAGATGACTGGCCCCCAATTTATATGGCATGACACTATCTACATGGGCTTCCCGATCTTACGACCAGGAACGGTCCATAGGGATGTCCGGGTCCACGACCCCAGGGAAACACATCCCACCATTAGGTCCTCGCCGTCCCTAACAGTGGGTCCACGACCCCAGGGCAACTCATCCCACCATTAGGTCCTCGCCGTCCCTAACAGTGGGTCCACGACCCCAGGGAAACACATCCCACCATTAGGTCCTCGCCGTCCTAACAGTGGGTCCACGACCCCAGTGCAACTCATCCCACCATTAGGTCCTCGCCGTCCTAACAGTGGGTCCACGACCCCAGGGCAACTCATCCCACCATTAGGTCCTCGCCGTCCCAACAGTGGGTCCACGACCTACAGGTTACCCTACATAGCTACCATACAAAACATGCAAAGTTTTATTCTTGTAACTTCAGAAGTGTCTGAGAAAACGTGTCCCCACTGCGCACACTATGCACTAAGTTGAACTAAGGGCCGTAACTCTGTAAAGAATTAATTGACGGGACCCATTTTCGAACTCAGTCTTGACAAGTATCACTTAGATAAGCACGCAAACTTTCATTCATGAAACTTAAGTAGTTCCTGAGAAAACTTGTCCCCATTTCACGTAGTATGCTCTAAGTTGGAAATCACGGAGCAAGGTCCATAACTTTGAAAAAATTGAATTTAGGACATTAATTTTCGAACTCATTTGAGATCATGAACGGACATACATTCCCAAACGGTTGTTATGTTTAACTTCACTTTGTGTTTCAGTTATATCATGTAGTTTCGGGGGCACGGGTGGCCCAGTCGTCTAAGGCGCCGCAATTCGCTGTGCAGAGTTGCGTCCCTTGGGCACGCCAGAAACCTATGATTGTGGGTTCGAATCCCAGTTCGCCCAAATTATGTTTCTAGGTTTGTCAGCACCATACCCGTACTCGTGGGTTTCACCGAAGTGGTAAACGTCTGAGACCTGCATCACTTCGGACTTTCCTCCCACATTAAGCTGACACGCCGTGATATAACTGGAATAATGTTAAAAGCGGCGTTTAACCCAACTCACTCACTCACTCATGGAGTTTCGGTTTAAATGTATACACTTAGTTACTTACTGTGAGTGTTGATGAACAAACGGCATTAAACGGCATAAGTGGCATTATTGGGCCATGGTATGTTGAGGAAAGTTCAGCAGCCCACCGTCTCTCAACATTAACAAAATCACCCACTGTTCCAGGTGAAAGCTGCATGCGACTAACACATTAACGCCTATTCAATTATTCAGATACGTTGTAGATAAAGTTGGTGTCTGTACTGTAGCTCACCTGGTTATGCAGTCATCAGTTAAATGTCAAAAGTCATATCGAAGTAGATGAATTCAAATCTTTTCTGCACAGATATTTGGAACAAACTGACAAATCTGCACAATTATATTTGTCAAAAGTGACCAGGGAGGGACACTTTTTATATTTCCCCCATTTTTTTATATTGGATAGCAGGTGTTTTTTCCCCGATAGTTGGAATGTCGGCATGATTATCCCATTGTCAAAAAGGAGGTGTTTATGGTGCGTTTCTTTGCCCAGCGTAATGGACAAACTAGTCACATCAATCCTTCAATCCAGAATAATTTATGGATATGGCTAAACTGTAAACCATTTTTCGCGAACACCTGGCATCATCACTATTTGATATTTGCCGAAGTCGTACAATGCACGGATTT